TTCAGTTACTGCAAGACATTAAGGTGAGTTACCTTCCAGTAGAAGTGGGTCTAAGGCCACAATATCGGCCCACTAAGTAGGAGTTGTATGTGATAATTATTTGGTATGCCACTATCTTTTACGCTTTATGTGCTAGGATGCTATATGTGTTAGTAGTAGTAGGGGTGAAATAGTCCTCGTTACCGGTTGAAAGATACCGAAGGGGTAGACAGTACCTATGCATGCCTAGCTATATGTTCATGATATGTTATTATGTGGGGGGTTAGCTCCCAGTTACCGATTAAAAGATACTGAAGCGGAGGTCAGCTCCCGGTTACCGGTTGAAAGATACCGAAGGGGAGGTCAGCTTTCGGCTACTGGTTGAAAGATACCGAAGGGAAGCCCAACTTCCGCTTATGCATGTCAGATACCGGTTGAAAGATACCGAGGGATAAGCATTATATGTTTATGGTGTGTGGTATGATGAGGGAACTCACTAAGCTTTGTGCTTATAATTTTCAGTTTTGTTTTCAGGTACCTCTTCATCGAAGGGGAAGGAGTCGACACGGTAGCAGCGCATCACACACACAGGATTTCCGCATCATGAGATTCTTGGAATTGTACTCTGACATTGTTATTATTTTTATGATATGGTTTTGAGACATGTGGTTATGGTGTTATGAAATGATGTGACTCGGTGATGTTTTCTTATAATTGTTTTTCTAAATTGCTATCCTAAAAAGAAATTTTTGGTCTTGAAAATTGGGATGTTACAATTTGACACTTATGTTTTCTTGATGTGGGTTTTATGAACAACGTTTTATCTAAATTAAAATGAAAATTTTGATGTTACAGCATAACTTGAAAAATAAGTTTAACATTGTTGAAAGAATAAAAGACATTCTTGGAGAATAAGACCTAAACTAAAGGGTCATACCTAACACTTTTTAAGAATAATTTAACATTCTTGAAAATATAAAAGACATTCTTGAATAATAAGACATGAAATAAAAGAAACACAAATTACAAGTACTAAATCTGACATTTTCATAGGAATTAACATAATTTACAATTGCAAATATAACATTCGTGTGAAAATGAACTTAAATTAGAAGTGCACATATGAAGATCTCAAGAGAATGAAAGAATGGAAGGGGAAAAAACATAAATTACATGTATAAATTTGAAACTTTTATGACAAATGCACAAAAATTACAAAAGGAATCTAATATTATCATGGGAATGATAAACAAGGACAAATATAATTTAATAGGGGCTCAATTTTCATGATTAACAGCTATTCTTCCATCTGTACGTATTGGAAAAAAATTATGTATAGATGATTAATTAAATCCTTTGCAGGTATGCTCTTTTCTTCCCTTCGAATATCTACATATTAACCTTGTTCATCCCCTCACTCAATTATAGGGTTGAGTAAAAAGATGACGAACAGCTTTCAGTTCTCCTTAGTTGGTCATTGTTTCATAAAAGAAAATCCAGTAACACATGGCTCTTTCTTATAATTAGAAGATTTTATAGAAAATAAGCAGAAGTGACAATTTTATGAAAGACGGGTTTAAATAGGAGAATTGGCTAAATTAAGTGAGCATGACCACTTTTGTCATGGAATATGGTGAATATGGTGGGAATGACTATTTTTGAAAGATTCTTATATAGAGATTAGGAGAAAATGGTGACTATTTTGTCAAATTTAAAATTTAGTGGTTATTGTGAGACAAAAACTTATAAGACCCACTAGTCACCTATTTCCCCTTTCATTCTCTCACAAAAACGACTTGAAGCTTTGAAAATATAAGAATATAATATGATTATGTGTGTAGTAATGGTACTTGTTTGCATTCATGAAACTTTTTTTGAGATATTCATTATTTTGAAAAAATCTTGCATGGTCTTGAAATGGTTTTGGAGCATCTTATATGTGCATTTATAATAGGATTGGGATTCCCTATTTTGTGGAATATCCAATATATAGGGTCATGAGCAGGATTTTAAAAAGCCTTCATGTGTACAAGTGAGGTTCGTCACCCCTTATGTAGCATTATGTGATGGTTTGCATTGCCTAGTTTGTGAATGGACAAAAGTTAAGGGTTCGTGTTTTGTGCTCACTACTTATGAATCTTATTTTCGATGCCATGATTATTTTGGAGGTTGGGCTTATGATATTGATTTTGGTTGGAATAGATAAATATACATTATTATTATTAGTATTATTTGTTTGAAGAACTATCTCATGTTCACATGAGTTTTTTGTTAAGTTTTTTTGACAAATATTGAACATGATGCTTTGTGTATACTTTTCATGAGTTCATAAATTATTTGGTCAATTGAAAGATTAAACATTTAATTTGAGTTTAATTTTTAATACTCCTTACGTTTTGTTTTATTGAAAGATTAAACATTTTATTTGAGATTATGAGTCATTTAATAATTTGCTTTGGATTATGGAATTATTAATTTCTTTTTTGTATAGATTATGAGTTATTAAACCCTTTGATGTTGGAATTAAGAATAACTACAATTTTAGTTTTGAGTAATGCTTTATTAAACTCTTGGATTGTTTTGGATATTATGTCATTGATTTTGAACATGGGTTTGTATATCTATATAGGCTTTTGGATACTTGAGTCGTTAGCTATTGGTTTATTAAGTCTTATGGTATTTTGTTGGTTTTATATTGATTTCGAATGTTTGACTTGTATGACTGTATGTAATGATTGTAATCATTATTTACTCAAAAAGAATTAACCTCGGGTATTTTTACTAGACATTTTCATTGTATAATTCATTTTTACTTGTGCTTGGATTTCAGCCTTAGAAGTGTATTAGAAGGTAATGATGTCATTTTAGGATGCCACAGGTTATATGGTTATATGGTAGAGATTTGAACTATGTTATGATATTAGTTTGGATATTATCTCGCTCTTTAAAAAAATCACTTTATTTTGGAACTTTTGGGACCTAATTCTTCATTATTATCTTTTTTAATTATTTGAAAACTACAATGAGAGTGTAGTTTCCGCACATTGTGTTTCAAAACCTTTTTCAACTAAAATTAAACGGTTTATAAGCATTTTTATAACTTCTCGAGCGATGAGTAAAAGGTGTAGATTCGTATTTACACATATAAAATCTTTGAAAAATCTCTATGTCAAAGGTTCATTAAAGCTTATTTTTGAAAGAAAATATATATATATATATATATATATATATATATATATATATATATATATATATATATAAGTAGGTTCATGCGTAAATATAAATATCTTGCGTAAACGTGAAAACAAATTTTTTTTATAAAAATTAAACACATGTACTATAAAAAATAAACTTATTAGCAATAAATTAAACATAATAAGTTTACATTGGATTGTGTTATGATAATATATATTTAAAAACGTTTTTAATAAAAAAAATTTCACGTCTTTAACCATTTTTAAATTCACGTTTTCATAATTAAAATGTCAAAAGTCATACTTTGCTAATATGACATAATTTCTCATCTATTATTGATTATCATTATGTATTTCAAAGTTTGGATGAATTATTGTTTAAAAAGATAATGTTGAGGTTTTTTTCGTGTTTTCGCAAATTATTTGCATTTTCGCATATATATATATATATATATATATATATATATATATATATATATATATATATATATATATAAAACCAAAACAATAATTAGCTCCAAAATATTTGATGGACATAATTAAACAATATATATTTTTCGGTCTAAAACTTAATATATATATATATATATATATATATATATATATATATATATATATATATATATATAACCAAAAACCAAAACAATAATTAGCTCCAAAATATTTGATGGACATAATTAAACAATATATATTTTTCGTTCTAAAACTTAACATAACTAATTAAATTATCTCGTGTATAATTCTACACATGGAGACATGACTTTTTTTCTAGCTAATTATTCTTTGTTTGATAAATTTTAACGGCTTAATATCATCGGTGAAATATAGTTTTTTATTGATTATTGAATATATATCGGTCAATATATGTTTTTTATATCCAACTTGGTCTTCTTTAATTATATTATATTTTATCTTTTTAGTTATATTTTAATTTTAAATATTTTTTATTTTTATTAATTAGATACTTCTGTTAAATAGTTGATGAAATTTCATTTATGAAATATAATTTTTATGATGAGTATATTATGTTTTTTATTTTATAATTATAACATAACATTTTTGTATTTTGTATATATAAATAAACAACACTTGCGTATTACTATAATGTAACAATTTTTTCGTATTTTTATAAAACAAATGTCTCGTAATGCAATTTAATTTGTCTTTAAAAATGGCTAACTAAATGGGGTGTCATGGATGAAAATAAATTAGTTAAATTTATAAAAATAAAAATAAAAACTATAAGAAAAAATTAACTATTAAAAATGTCATTTAGCTAGATATAAAATTAATAATGAAGTCAAAATAATTTTAAATAATATAAGTGATATCATAGGTCAACCATGAGAATATTTTTATTTGCATATCTTCATCCTTAAAAATATCATTTCAATTTAAACAATTACAAAATTAACATGCACGTAAAAAAAGTTTTTATAAAAGAAATTTTTTTTTTTTAAATAAGTTATTATTAAAAGCCGTTTTTATAAAAAAAAAAAACATTAAATTAAGTTATTATTAAAAAAATATTAGTTCTATTTCACCAAAAGAATATCAAAATATCATCTTTTTTTCTTTTTTCTTTTTAGTTGTTGTAATCATCCCTTGTTTTTTTATTACTGTTTACTATTTTTACGCAAACAAACGGCCAAAACCTGGAACTTGGGTCAAATTCGGGTGGTTCAAGGATGGAAAGTGACTATACAACGACTCTCTCCGCCACCCCCACTCGCTTTAAATAAACAATTCCTTTTGCATTTCCCCTAAAACTAAAACCAACCACCCACTCTGCATTTCTGATTTCTTCTTCGGTTTCGATCCATAATCATGAACTCCAATCACTTGCTTCTCGAAGAACCGATACGTATGGCCTCAATTCTCGAGCCATCCAGACCTGTAAGTTTGTTTCTTCGTTTTCCGATTCTAATTTTTTTGTAATTACTTTGTTAAACTCGTGATCTTCGTTCGCAGAGTTACTTTCCCTCAATGACTAGGATCGTTGGTACTCTCGGACCGAAATCGAGATCTGTGGAGGTTATTTCCCGATGTCTCATGGCCGGAATGTCTGGTAATTTTCTTCTGCTTTCTCAGTTTCTCCTTCCGAAGCATGGATCTGGAGTTCACAGTCTAAGTGTAGTGGGATAATACACATGACTAAAAACTGATATAAAAAAATGATTGTTGAGTAAGCGTTTGGTTAATTGTTTTTTTATTTTTTATTTTTTTAGGGAAGATAGTGACAGTTTTCAACACGATGGGCAACCGATATTCAATTAAGAAAAATTTGACCTTAATTTTCGCTTGCTCAAATTCGCATAAAATTGTTTATCTTAATTCTCTTTTACTCGGAATATTTCTGATTCTGAATATGGAAAGTCACTTTTTCGAATCGTATGTTGAAATTCCATCCTACTTCGAGTTAAATCTGAAATAATTATTCTCTTAAATACTTTCAGATTTACTTTACAGTTTCATCATAAATTTGAACTACTGCTTTGTGGACACTGATTCGCCCTCTTTTGAGTTCTTTTTTGTGACATTTATTACTTTTCTGCTTGTAGTGGCACGATTTGATTTTACATGGGGTGATGCTGAGTTTCACCAGGAAACATTGGAAAACCTAAAACTCGCTATCAAAAAAACGAAGAAGCTGTGTGCTGTAAGCTTCATTACCAGTTCACCTGATGAATCATACTTAACATTATCTTTATAAGCATAAATATATCAGAGACTAATGAATTCATGTTCTTCCCTAAATAACCAGGTTATGTTAGATACAACTGGCCCAGAGCTCCTTGTTGTCAACAAAAGTGATCAACCTATACCACTTGAAGCAGATTCCTTTGTGGTTCTAACACCCGATCAAGAGAAAGAAGCATCTTCAAATCTTTTGCCTATCAATTTCAGTGGACTAGCTAAGGTAATACTTTGTTATATAGATTTAATAACAAATACTCGAAGCGATTTTCCATTATAATTTGAATCAAATTTAAAGTAACCTTTGATATTTGCAGGCAGTAAAAAGTGGTGACACCATTTTCCTTGGCCAATACCTGTTTACAGGAAGTGAAACAACATCTGTTTGGCTTGAGGTAAATCACCATTAAAAATAGCCACATATAGTATTTCATTATTCATATACAAAACTTAGTGCTTTCTATATGCAAAAGTTATATAAATCCACGCGTTTATTCACTATCCCTTTGTTTCCTAATTAGAAATTTCCTTACCTTATGCAATGCCAGGTTTCAGAGGTCAAAGGTGATGATGTTGTGTGTCTGATAAAGAACTCTGCTGTTCTTGCTGGGACATTGTACACTTTACATGTCTCTCAAGTTCACATTGATCTACCCACACTCAATGATAAAGATAAGGAGGTAAACTAAATCATCTCAAATATATTCAATTTGTTATATGGTTATCCTTCAAATTACATGGCTCTTATAAATTTTGATTAACTGTAGGTTATTAGCACATGGGGAGTTAAAAACAACGTTGACTTCCTCTCTTTGTCACACACACGCAGTGGTCAAGATATTCGACAAGTACGCGTTACATTTACAATTTATTTTATTTGCAAATTGCATGTGATTGTTTCCACTTTTTCCATATCTGATTCATGATTCTCTTTTTATGTTAAAGGCGCGCGAATATCTTTCTAAATTAGGTGACCTAAGTCAAACTCAGATTTTCGCAAAGATTGAGAACGTAGAGGTGAGAGTTGCTTATTTGATGTAATTTTTCATATTAATATATGTCAAGAATGAAGGTATTAACTTTTTGAAACTGTGTAACATATACTACAGGGACTAGTAAATTTTGATGAAATCCTTCAAGAAGCAGATGGGATTATTCTTGCTAGAGGAAATTTGGGGATTGACCTTCCACCAGAGAAGGTCAGCTTTGTTTAAACTTTAAAGTAAAATTAAAAAAAACAAAATATGAAAATTAAGTTGGTAGCTTACAAGATTTTATGAACAGGTGTTTTTGTTTCAAAAAGCAGCTGTTTACAAATGCAACATGGCTGGGAAACCTGCGGTTGTTACCCGCGTTGTGGATAGCATGACTGATAATTTAAGGCCTACTCGTGCTGAGGCCACTGATGTTGCCAATGCTGTTTTAGATGGTAAATATAATAAATAACTAAATATCCAAACTGAATGTTTATAAAGGAAGGAATGACATGTTTTTATGTTTGTGAAAATTTTTTAGGTGCTGATGCAATCCTTCTAGGTGCAGAGACAATGAGGGGGTTGTACCCTGTTGAGAGTATCTCTATTGTTGGTAAAATTTGTGGTGAGGTATTGATTTCTTCCATTAATGTGATTTCTTCATTTTTTTTTTAAATTGAATTTTTGATGTTGTAATATTATTTATTGTATGGTAATGGTATGCAGTCTGAGAAAGTGTACAATCAAGATTCATATTTCAAGAAAACTGTTAAATATGTTGGCGAACCAATGAGCCACATGGAATCCATTGCTTCCTCTGCGGTATTCGATTTCAAGATCACATAATAATAATATCCTTTTTAAATCATTAATTAAAAGATCATATATTAATATTAATTGGTCATGGGATCTATTTTAGGTGCGTGCTGCCATCAAGGTGAAAGCATCCGTTATCATTTGCTTCACGTCGTCTGGACGAGCTGCAAGGTATGTGTGTGTGTGAGAGAGGGACAGATTTGGAAAATTTTATCCCACCCTAGAAAGTAGTACATGTAGGAAAGGAAAGGAAAAGGATTTGCTCTCTCTATATGTGCAAAAAAGACATAAATGACCTCTCTGGTTGAAATGAATATGTATGTGTTTATATTTTCTGAGTTGGATGAAAAATGCAGGTTAATTGCCAAGTACAGACCTACCATGCCTGTGCTATCTGTTGTTATTCCAAGGTTGAAGACAAATCAACTTCGTTGGACATTTACTGGTGCTTTTGAGGTAACTAACTAAGTAATCATATTATCTACTCTTTCTACTAAATCAAACTATTGTTGTTGAAGGCAAACTAATCCTGTGGGGTTTTTGGTAATTTTATTATAGGCAAGGCAATCGCTCATCATTAGAGGTCTTTTCCCAATGCTTGCAGATCCACGACACCCTGTAAGAACCAACAACTCTTTATTTAACAACCACTTATACTTACGCTTAACAAAATTCCATTTTTAATAAATAACTTGAATCGATGTAGGCGGAAGGCACAAGTGCAACAAATGAGACGGTTTTGAAAGTGGCTCTGGATCATGGAAGGAACATTGGTGTTATAAAGTCGCATGATCGTGTTGTTGTTTGCCAGAAAGTTGGTGATGATTCTGTTGTCAAGATCATTGAGCTTGAAGATTAGTAATATTAATAGTAGCCATAGCCAGCCATTTTTGGATTTCAGCAAGTTTTTTTTGTTTCTTTTTTTATCAAGTGTAAATGGCGGCAGAGCTTGAGATCAAGTTCTTTTTGTGCCACCACAAAATTAGCCTAGCCTCCTTTTTATTTATGTATTGAATTCCGATTTCACTAGTCACTTTATTCAGTTTATGTTTTGCAGTTCATGACTTATCTTAAATAGTTTTCCCATAATTACAAAAAAAACTAAACTACTTTAATCATTTGGCATCTATAGTTTTAAGTAAATGAATACATGAAAAAATGTATAAATAATGAGAATATGCATCAAATATTTCATGAATGAATTAATCGTCTTGTTTTGGTATTTGAGAAAGGGATAATGACTTGAAAAACTGATTATATTTTTGGTACATATTTCACCCCTTCGGTTAACCATTAAACATGTTTTTCTTTATTTAAAACATACCATTATGACCGGTAATAAAAGGTTTTTCTGGTTTCCGACCAAGTATGATTTTCCGGTCATCTCCGACCAAAATAGTTTTTCTGGCGAGTTGAGTTCTTAACACAATTTTCAGATTTCTTGTTTCTCTATTTCTTATCTTTTGTTTCCAGATTCATGGGTTTTTTTGTATTCTTGTTCTTGGAAAGATTTCTGAAACCCTAGAAATCAAAAATCAAAGTTGATGAACTCAAAGCTGCCATGGAAATCGATTCAAGAAAAAAATCTCATCAGAAATCAAAGTTGATGAAGGGGCTGGTGTTGATTTTCTGTTTGGAAAACCTCATCAGACAATTTCTTTTTGGTTGTTTGTAAAACCTCATCAGAAAATCGAGTTGATAAGGGGTTGTGTTCATCGTTGAAGAACACACCCTAAAACACAATTTCAGTTTTTGATTTCTCACACATAAACATGTGAAATCAAGTTCATCTATGGCAGATTTTGAGTTTATCCATGGTAGTTTTTTCAGATCTCGTTTCTTAAACTCTTCATTTTGTTTCTTGAACCTTTCTTCTTCCTCGAGTTCAAACCCTAACTCATTTCTAACGATAAACAAACTCTAACGAGAATCAAATATTTGAATCATTTTGCATGTGTGTGTTCTTCAACTATGAACATATACAAAAACCCACGAATCTGGAAACAAAATATAAGAGAGGGAACAAGAGAAAAAAGAAATCTGAAAAATGTGTCAAGAACTCAAATAGCAGGAAAAGCTATTCTGGCCCGGAGAAGATGACAAAAAAAATCATACTTGGCCAGAAAAATAAGCTAGAAACCAGAAAAACCTTCTATTACCAACCATAATTGTATGCTTCAAACCAAAAAGAAAAACAAGAAAACAATTACCCTCTCTTAGTACAACTGAACCGTTTACATAACTTTAACAAGTTTAGTAGTGATTGTAGGAAACAATTTTTGTTAAATCATCAGAGCATATATGTTCGTAAAAATAGGTTTTTATATAATTCTTAAGATTGGCTACAACAATAATGATCTTACAAAGGAACAAAATAAATCGGTTGTATTTCTATGTATCACGGCACAAACGCAACAAAAAAAAAAATGAACAATATTAAAACTTAGAAAAAAAACATAAATGGAGCAAATTCAGGCCAAAATTGGGCAAAGTCCCAAACTTCAACACAGGCGTTTCTCCCTCTAAAACATTCATAGAATTGAGGCTTTTCCCTGAAATTAAGATCTAAACGTGAACAGGAAACCTACTGTTATAGGACCACGATTATGAACACTTGAAACCCCCGACAGAGACGTTCGATTGAAATCCTTGGTAATAGAAAAGTAAACAAAAAGTCACCGCAACAAAACAAAACCCCCAAAAAAATCGAGAGCAAAATCGAGAAAAAATGAGCAATGTGAGCAAATTATGGCAAAATCACCGAATTAAAGACACTTCAAATAAAGCAAAATTATTTAACTTAATTCATTATATCATTTATAACCGGATCATTACAAACTTTTGCTACTTCTGCGATTCGGTTTTTTACATTAAGACGCCATTTTAAACCTAAATTTACGACGCATAGAGTACCAAACCCTAACGTCTACGACTCTAAGAGCTAGTAAACTTAGTTACAGCCTTAGTACCTTCAGACACGGCATGTTTGGCCAATTCACCAGGAAGAACAAGTCTCACAGCAGTCTGAATTTCCCTTGAAGTAATAGTTGGCTTCTTGTTGTAACGAGCGAGCCTTGACGACTCCTGAGCAAGCTTCTCAAAGATATCATTGATGAATGAGTTCATGATCCCCATAGCTTTGCTTGAGATTCCGATATCGGGATGAACCTGCTTCAGAACCTTGAAGATGTAGATCTTGTAGGTCTCTACCGACTTCTTGTTCCTCTTCTTCTTCTTATCAGTCGAGGAGGCGTCCTTCGGAAGCTTCTTCTCGGCTCTGGGCTTCTTCTCTGCTGGAGCTTTCTCCGCTGCAGGCTTCTTCTCCGCTGGCTTCTTCTCCGCCTTTGGTGCCATTGCGATCGGTGGTGTTTGGTTTTGCGTTTGATAGATCTGTAAAATGAGAAAGGCTTCTGTGCTGATGATGGAAAGATTGATTGATTGGGGTTATTATATATAGGGTAGAAGTCGCGTTGTGGTTGGTTGAAATAGTTTGACGCGGATCGTGATTTTGGACCGTAGGTTATTTGGGATGTTGATCGGACGGTGAAGACTGGAGTCGTGTGGAAGTCTTGAAGTTTGAGATTGGATTTTGCTAATCTGACAGCGGGTTTTTTTCCCGCATTAAAAAGGTTTTGGAGGTGTGCTAATAAAGATAGGACGATGGTAAGTGGTATAACATAAATGTTTGAAATTTTTGTAATATTGGGTTAGGTCCAATATATTATTTCATAAATAGAAACTACAAAAATATATTTTTAGATAAATAGGTTTCAGATAGATAAATAGATTGTTATCCGATTTAATTTGTTTATATATTTTTTAACTCAACCATTTAAATGGGTTAAATTTAGATTAACCTATTTAAAATTTTTGAAAAATAACTATATACTGCATCACTTAAATAAAATTTTAAAGTATGATAAAAACATAATAGAACTTACAGATAAATATATATTTTTCAAACATTAAAAAATAAAAAATGTTTAATTTTAAAATGATTTTAGAGGGTGTCAAGCGTTTTCGATGTCGGAAAATAAGATATAAGTTATGATTGTACTTTTTAAACATATAAATAATAATATAAAATAATTTAAACTTAAAACTTTTCACAAGCACTTTTCAACTTATAGTTTATAACTTTAGCTTATGATTTTTCATAAGCATTTTCAACTTATAGCTTATAACTTATAATCTAATAAATTATGAGGGACTTACATATTGATTTTGACTTGTTTTCGATACAGCACTTTGATAATTTATTCTTAATCCTTTTTAGAAAGAGAGAGAACATAACGCAAAGGTATATTGCAAACATTTCTTTTTATTTAAATTGTATTGGGGTTACATTGTTTTAAAATACAAGCATACAACCTAAACATCATTTAGACGATAAACAGATGAAATTAAACTCCAACAGCTTCATTGAATATATCTTCCTCCTTGACGCAACAATCCTCCACACTTGTCTTCCTGATAATACATGTATTTTTTAAAACGGTCAACATAATATTGGTGAGTGCACAGGCTTTTATAGTTTTTGACTTTTATTTGATTGTATTGATTTAATAATCCTTTTTTCTTTTAAAAAAACATTTCCTAAAGTGTTTTATCAACCCTAGATAAAACGTCCAAAAAATAAGATCTTAGTAGTAAAGTTCATCCTGATGATAACATCCTTAGACTAGGTCCCTTGTATAGGTGTTTAGGGACGTAAAGTGAGGATAACGGGAATGGGTAATCAGTGTTATTGTTGGTTTGATAAAATTAATAAATTTATTGTTAATCGATGAAATTAATAAATTTATTATTATTTGTGGGTTGAAAACTTTATATGTTCACCAAGCTCCCAGCCTGACTCATTCAGCTTTCTGTTTTACAGGTAGTGGACCCAGAGCATAACTTGGATAATGATGAGGGATTTTTAGATTATAGGTCAATAGTTGTAAATAAATGTTGTAAGGCTTATAATGTATTGTTTATGCTTTTGATCTGTATCGAACATGACATCCTGAGTCTTTTTAATGAAATATATTTCTACGGAAATGCTTTGATAAATCTTTATCATATTTTTATTTTGGGAACAAATTCCGCAACACTTTTATGTAAAATATTACGCTGATTTTTCAAACAAGCATAAACAAAATCGATCTTTTCTGGCCGTGAAATTGGGGATGTCACATTACATATTTCTTAGCAATCTTTTTTAACTGCAATTAGTAACTCAAGAATCTAATCTTCAAGCAACGCGATCGAAATCCATTTCTTTACGATCAGATTCAGCTCACTTCTTCCCTTAAGCTTCTTCTCTTTTCTTCGATCCTACAAAACATCAAAATGTAATCTTATCACATCATGTATTAAGAATCTAGAATAGGAACTTAAAAGAGTTAGTTAATGGATTTTACCTGAAGTAGAGTCATACGTCTTGCTCTCCCATCTCTTAGATCTCTCGGGTAGTTAGGGTAACTTCGTCTCCAATGCCCCTTCTCTTGGCAATAAAAGCAAATGGACTCTTTTGGCACAACACATTGGACAATCATAGACTTAGTTCCTTCTAGACTTCCGATGTTGCCAGTGTCCATTATAGTTTGGGAGTTTGATTCACCGTACAAATTTTCTTGACCAACACACCAAATCATTGTTGATTCAGCAGCTATAAGCAAATAGGTGAGATCAATGAGGGTCACATCGTGATCCATCATATAGTACTCTCTAACAAACTCACTATATGATTCAGGAAGCGACTGAAGAACCCAGTCAACAACCAACTCACCTAAAATCTCTACACCCAACATCCTTAACCTATCAATGTGCGACTTCATCTCTAAGACGTGTGCACACACAGGTCTCCTATATTCGTGCTTAATTTCCAATAAGGCTTGAGTGAGCTTGTACTTTTCAAGCCTTTGAACTTGTGGGGTAGGGAGAATAATTGGAGGAGGTGGAGGGAGTGAAGCATGATCTCTTGTTCCTCGATCGAATCGTGGAATATCATCTTCATGTGGAAATTGGGAAGACCATAGTTGTCATACTTTGACATCTACAAAACGGGAGAAAATTCAAGTTAAGTTGATTGATTGAATCCTTAATAAATCACCCAAATGAGATATTAAGGCTAGGACCCAACACATTATTCCAAAACTTGGGAGAGGGATTGTCGTAACTCAAATTGCAAAACATTTAAATGTAAATGAATGACGATTCACTAATTTTCCACCATGAAAAATGAAAAAGAGATTAGGTTTTAAATGTATTGAAAAAATCCTAGATCCATTGAGATTCATTAAACTTTTCAATGGCATGTTTAAATCTCGATATGCCCCTCGATTTGTGACTGGGATGCCGAGGATCAAAAAACAGGGTGTGAATAACCATGCAAACTTACATGGTGCCCCCAATGTTACAGTCACCTATTCGATGTGTCGGTTAACCACACACGCTCCACCGAACTATGAAAAACATTGAGTCACCCTTTGCTACCTTTGCTTATAACCATTTAGTGTGTCGGTTAACCACACACGCTCCACTAACGTCTTCGCAAGGGCACAAAGTGTACTTTCATGGAATTGCATCAATTCACCTTTGCCTAAAGTAACTAAGATTGAGAATTTTGTAAAAACATTTAGTTACTTTATACTTCTTTATACTTTTAGTGGAAAGGGTTTGCCATATCCTACCCGTTCGGCTAACGACCCTCCATCAATCAAGGAAGCGGTGGGTGAGAGTGGACACCCATTAAACGACCATTTTATAGGCCATAACCTTATACCCCCTTTATAGATTGGCATCGTGAATGAGGCCTACTAACGGTAAGACTAGCAGTTTAAGTTATACATATATGATATTAGACTTTTAATGTTATATATAATATAAGGTGTATTTTACACTTTTAAAATACTAGGTGGTCTAATTTAATAAATTATACTTTTAATTTAATTAAATGTAAACCAAAATTTTATGGGTTTATTAAATCTCTTTTAATTATACACTTTAATTAAGTAATAAAACCATAAGGGTGTAATTTGAATTTTTCAAAATACTAGGGTTTTAGAATTTAACATTTCAAAATTAAACTTTTTAATCAAACAATTTAAATTCCAAAACCTGAGGGAAAGTGTTGAAACTTTTCAAAACATAATCAAGAACATTCTAGATCAAATTACAAATAATAATAATAATTAACCAATTAATTAGTAATTATCTAAATATGACCTAATTGAATTTCATGCAAGATAATCTATCAAATAATTCAAATAAATCAAGTTTATGACATACTAAATGATTATTTAATTAATTTGACAATTATCTTTTATTTTGGTAAGGATATCCTCAAATCCCCTAGAATTTGAAATTATGGGATGTGATAAATCAAAATCTTTAATTACCAAATTTAAACATTTAAAGGATAATTACAAAATATGACATTATCCAAATCCCTAAAATTTAGGATCTAATCTTGGGGACATATGATTTTCGAAAAACCCTAGGGTTACATACCCTAATTTCGAAAATACGGAGGCAAAGGAATGGGTTTAAAAACCATATCAAAAAATCACCAACTAGGGTTTTGCAACCCTAATTGCGAAAATTACCAAGCCCTAGGGTTTACTAGCTATAAACTTTAATATGTCAAGTTCATACATTTGAATAAATCTAATTGAAAGCAAAAACCAATGGCTTTGATACCACTAATGTGATTTATACAAACAATCCTATGTGTGCATGCAACCCTATAGTTGGATTTATGTTTTCACTATTAGTTATACAACTTTATGACCACAAAAATAAACCTGGCATGCTAGTAGTATTTTTGAAATCCACATAGAATAATAGAATACATACATTTTGTTGTTATATATTAATAACAACTAGTTCCTTGAATCTCCTTGGCTTTGAAAGCAAGTACCACAAGTGTAGTACCTCTAATGGCTCACAAACACACTAGGTGAAAGGATGAATATAGGAGAGAGGAGAGAAGGGTATCTTGCCCTAGAATTCATCCCTTTTAGGGTTTCCCAAAGCTTGGACGAAATCTTAGTGCGTTAGGGTGCTATTTATACTTAAGGCTAACTAGGGTTTCAAGGTGTAAACCCTAATCCCTTAGCTTAGGGCCTAAGCAAGTCCATGGACTCCTTTCCTTAAGCCCTTGGACGAAAACTCCTAGATCCTTCTAGGATTTTCGTTCAAGCCTTAATAAAGGTGATCCAATGTCCCAAAGCCTCAACTATTAAATAATTACAAAACAGCCCCTGCACTTTCAGTCAGTTCCTTTAATCCCAAAATTAATTCTAAATTAATTTCTGATTAAATACTAATTAATAATATGATTCCAAATTAATATATTATTCATATAA